TGCTACTTCATGGGCAAGTAGGGCAAACGGTGGAGCTGACTTCTCAACATTTATTCCCTAAATCATTTTTCAGTTCACCAACATGCAGGGTTCCATTTACAATCTGGGGAGAATTTGCCCAAAATATCACTAGCCACAACCATCTGACACTTCAGGGGAAAAAAAAAATTAAATGGCAGCCACTGCCCCAGGACAACCTCCCCTCTTCACGTAAGGGTTAGTCCGCTCACAGCAGCCATTTCAGTTGTAAACATTAATGCTTGATCGTCTCAGAGCTCAGCTTCTGGTAGAGGGGGGAGTGGTTAAAGGGAGAGAGAAGAAGATACAGAAAGAAAGGAGTGGGTGACAGGTCCCCAGAGGAGAGGCTCTGCAGAAGGTCCAGGGAAATAAGGCAGAACTGCTGCTCCATCAAAGTCAGGGTGGTGGCTTCCATCCTTCATGAGGCGCCAGCTGGTGACTGCGCAGGAGGGAGCCTTCTTGCCACGGCTCCATTAGAAAACAGGCTGTGTCTTCCTCCCAAGTCTCTCCCCCCGTGTCCCCTGCCCCCACAGGCTGGCACCTGCCCAGCATCCAGACAGATGCTCTGCCCGCATCCACGACCCAGCCTTGGGGCTCCAGCGGCCCTGCCACAGGACAGTGTCTCCAGCCCGCCTGCCCTCAGGTCAACTCCGAGGGGGGGAGTAGCAGCCGTGATGATTGAACAAGACTGGTTCCCAACATCCGTCACTCTCCCTGGGCACGTGGTCTATGAGTGGGAGGGGTTCGGGCAGCAATCACATGAGGATAGAGCAGGGCAGCCCGCTGGTCCATGGACTCCAGCAACTGGGTGGAGCTGCTGCTCGGGAGAGATGCCTGTGAGACCTCACAAAGCGCTTTGGACGCTGTCCACTTCCCCCACACAGATGAAGCTACTTCTTTGAATCTTGGATTTAGCCTTATTTTCAATAGTTCTGTGTCACTGTTGTAAACTGCTCTCTCAGTGGATCTCTTGGTGGTGGCTGGACCAGGTTGTTGTCCAGTGGTAGCTGGGTTCCACCCCAAGAAGATTGCTAGCTGGAGGGTCACCGTCATCTCCCTACCCTTGAGGTCACTGATCAAACCGCAAAAACTGAATCCTCCCTGAAAACTGGGGAGAATGAAATCTGTCGGGCAGGGTTGCCAGCAGGACTGGGCAAGAAGTGACTGAATTATTTACTCTCCTGTAAATCTAAAAGAGATTTCCCAGAGCCCCTGCCCCACAGCACCAGGTCCAGTGTCTCTGCTGTCCTGTCAGCGAGTCTGTCCAGAAATTTGTGGAGGACTCAGAGTAGAAACACTTCTCCCTGCCTTGAAAGGCTGTTGTTGAATGGAGCACAGATGATGTTCTCGAATGAATGAATGGACGTTTAGACATGACATGGAAAATGCCTAGCACAGTGACTGGCTCATAGAAGATGCTTCACCAATAATATCAGTGGGAAGTGTCGGCGGGTGGCAGACAAAGCCATCGAGGCCTCTGCTATGCCATGTCCTGGCTATTTGACTTCATGTAAGTCTCTGGTCTTTCTCAATTTCCCCACCTGTAGATTCTACCTACAATGCAGATTTGTTGCAAGAACTAAAGATAACATTAAAAATAAATAAATAACAAGATCAAGTAGTAGGGAAGCAGTGAGCTCCCAGCTCAGGACCAGCATCTGAGGAATACCACTGGAATCGAACCTGGGACCCTTCATTTCACAGGCCGACGCTCTATCCACTGAGCCAAACCAGTCACGGCTGAGGAATACCACTTTGGAGGGCTTTGTGTGAATAGAGTGAGGGACGAAGGGAAGACAGATGAAGGAGCGCCCTCAGCAGGCTGTCTCATGGGATGCAGGGAGGCCTGGCAGACAGTGGGGAAGGGACAGGGAAGAGGGGGACAGTAGGAAAGCCCAGGTCAGGGCATTCACATGGGCCTTCTGCACTAGTAGGTGGCAGGGAAGCCGGTGCTTCGGGAAGATGCTGGACGGTGGATGGGAGCAGTGTGTGGGATGTGAGCTAGAGTCCACCTCACCCTTCAGAAATAAGTTAAAATGGCATTAAATTCAACAGCCCTTGATGGGCTCATCCCTATTAACTCCTGCCTTTGGCCCAAGCTACTACTTATGTGTACTGTCAACCTCGTGCCCCTGAAACAGCCTGTCATCTCGGTCATTATCAAAGATGAGGAGGAGGAATTGTTCTGACGTCCTCAGATGGGAACCTACCCTTGGCTTCTGACCGTGACTGTCCTACAGTGGCTCCAGGCCACCCTGGCTTGCCTGTCCATCAGGGTAGCAGGAAATCTAACAAAATCTCCCCTAGGAGGACAGGGCTCGGGCGCAGCTGGGGCACCCGCAGTCCTGCATGGGCCTGGGTGGTGTTTCCCCGCTGGGCCACTTCTCCCACTGCGGACACGGACACATACAAGGTCAGGTCCAGGAGTCTCGAGACGGCTACTGCCTCCCTGTTTATCACTGAGTACCTGCCACCCACCCCTGCCCTCTCCTCTAGGCTCGCCTTCTCATGGGCACTGCTGTACAGCCTTTCTGAAACCGCTGCTTACGCCTGGGCAGATCAATGGAACATTTGAGAGCATTCCGGGCCCCTGGAAAGCTAAGCTAACATCCTCAGAATCCATGTGCTGTGGCTGTGGCTGGTGGGGGATGGTTTTGTTATTCGTAACCTCTGTCGTGCCTCTTTCAAACTATAACTCTGATTCCTTTTGGAAAATGTGAAAATACAGGCAGGCAAACAGGCAATAAAAGCACCCATCAGCCAGAGGTAAACACACGCTGGCCCGTATATTTCTAGGCTTGCTGTCTATGCGTATACATATCTGGTGTGGTTTTTAATAGGACTGTTCAGTGCTGCTTGGTAGCCTGATCTTTTCACATAACTATTGCAAATAGCTTTCCGTGTCATTAAACAGGCTCCCACACCTTCGCCTTTAATGACTGCCCAGTGTGTGCCAGCAGAGGTGTGCCCCAGTCAATTGGTTGTGTTGTTTTTTCTCGTGCCTGTGGTCTGCAACTCACATCATTAACTGCTGGAAGAAAGTGCCAAGGTTTCGCCAATTAGAGGCTCTTCATTAAAAATGGAACAGGCATCCGAAGCCCTCCAGGGGGTGGGCCACTGTCCTTGCTCTTCTGAAAGGTATCCCCGTTGTAAACTGCAACCTGGTCCATCAGCCAGACAGGCGGTGGGTGTGGAATAGAGGACCACTTGTATTTCCCTATGGCTGTCTCTGGAGAAGGCGGGGCTGCTTTAAAAAAAAAAAAAGGCAGAAGCAAATGTTTTGTAATTGTTTTCGAGCGCGCGCGGGCTCAGTGGCAAGAATGAGACGGAAGCCTTGATTTGTAACCGCCTGCTGCACTGTTTGAAATGCCTCCCCGAGAGGCAAGGAGGAAGCCAGTCTGAAGTACTCCGGTGCTGAAATCTGCATCCTCTCTTAGCTGGTTATTGTCCCAAAGGACATTTCACATCAAATTGTACTTGTTTATAAAGATCTTCCACCCAACACAGACCACTTCTCAAGACACTGCTGATATGCAAGTTAAAGATATGCAAAGAGAGAATGAAAGCCACTGCGCGTCCCTGGGTAGAAATATAAGCAGATTTAACGGCAGCCGCTGGCAGCTGGAAACCCTCCATGGACGGTCGTGTTCAGAGCTCAGGGAGGCAAGTAACAGGAAAGCCAGCAGTAACTGGTACTCATTAAGGAAATGCATTTGTTCGAGCTTTTCGGGAGGACCGAGAGCGGGCTGCCCTGCGCTGGGCACCACGAAGCAGAGGTAAATAGCCCCCCACTGACACACTCGGGGAGCTAACGGTCTAAGAACATTTGAAACACGGTACCACCGGCGCTGCGCCCAGGCACTCATGTACAGGGCATATGACAACACAGCGTCGTGACCCTCTGCTGGTGGCACTAGGGTGGCAGGAGCCCAAGAGGCAGAGGGCGTAGAGACAGAACTGTGTCCGCCTTCCTGGGACACACAGGCACGGGGGCATGAGCTGCCAGGATGCATCTGAGCACCTGATCAGACAGAGGTGAAGCAAAGGATGGAGCCTGAGGAAATGAGACCGGTGAGGCCCGCAGGAGCTGGGCTCTCGGCGTCCCGCGTCCTGGGGACAGGGACCAGGCTCTCTCCAGCAGGCACATGTCATCTGATTCCCACAGGAAAGGCTCTTTCCAGCTGGTATGGAGCTTGTGAGATTGGAGCAGAGGACAAATTAGGAGACTGTCATTACCATTCAGGCAAGAAATGACGTGGGTGTCCACAAAGCACAGTGACCATGGAAAGGAAGGAAGAAGCCGTGATTATAGGTGATGCGGTCAACAGGGCCGGTGGCCAACTGAAGGGTGGGGGGAGGTAGGACAGAGAAAAGGCAAAGGAAAAGACCCCCAGGAAGCAGAAGAGGACGGCACCTGGGGCAAGGTGACCGAGAGGGCCTCCCCTCCCTGAAGGGTGGAGAAGGTGGGAACAGTCGCTGCGGGAGGTCGCGGAGACGGGAAAGGAGCCGCAGCACCGCTGGAGGATGGCGGTGACGGCTGCGGTGCTGCTGTGGGCGGGATGAGGAGCTGGCCTTCAGCACTGGACGTTGTGAACCGAAGGCCCCCCGAGGCCCACCTGAGACCGGAGGCCAGTCCACAAGTGGTGTTTTCCCAGCAGCACTCAGCGGCCAAAGGGGAGGAGAGGGTGGATGACACATGGGTTCCAGGTTGGATTTGGCTGTCTGGCATGGGGACAGCCATGTCCCCTGTTCAAGGGAACCTAGGATGGCAAGAAGACAGTGTCTGGAGTGCTGCCCAGAGAAGGAACGAAGGCAGGAAGAGCTGAGAGCGAGGGGTCAAGGACTCAAATCTCAATAGAGCAGAGATGAGAAGGGCACCAACAGGCGTGGGTGACAACAGGGACCAGAGGCTGTGGTCTGCAGGTGGCATGCTGAGGCGTCAGCCTCCAGAGGGGAAGCAAACACAGAGATGGCCATGCCAGGAGCTGACCCGGAGGCAGGTCACTGCAGTGGGCTGGTGTTTTGGCAGTGCCCACAAAGGACAAGGGCCAGCAGGATGGAGGAGGGGCTGTGTGACTGTCCTCCCACATTCCGGCTGGGGAGGGCTGTTTCCCACCAGTGTCTGGGGCCCTGAGGCCCAGCAGCCTGGTCAGCAGCCTGCGTCTGAGCTAAGGTTGAGGGGTTTAGTTCTCCCAGGTGTGGATGGCCCCGAGGAAGCTGCCATCCTGGGAGAGGCCTTAGTGCCTGGAGGAGGGGGCAGTCTTGGGTTCCAGTTGGTGAACCTAGAGGCAGCAGAAGGTGCCCACCTCTGGGGGAGACCCCTGTCTCCCAAGGGAGCTATAGGCCCAGGAGGCCAGTGGGAAATCCAGGAACAGCTAAAATCCATTCTGTTCAGCAGAGCCTGGTTGAAACAAAGGCCATCCCACAGTCAGGCATGGCGGTGTGTTCACTATGCGTCCAGCCCTGGGGACACCCCAATGCCAGTCTTTGTCAGTGCTGGAGGGCTGGAAGGAGTCCTCCAATGGGAGCAAGGCAAGCCCTGCCTCACCCTGTCCGCTTGTCACCGAAGCTGAGCAGGTTTCAGAAGAGGTACATGGTGGCTGAGAAAGAACCTGACAGTCTAAGGGACGCTCCTTAGAACCGTGACTGTCAGGCCCTCAATTGTCACGTGTGACAAAGAGCCCAGGTAAATAGTACCTCAGCACTGTCATCTGAACCACATCACCTCCCACGGTAGCACCAGGCAGTTATGAGTTACTCCTAAGTCTTACACTCTGCTATAGACTCAGGAAGTCTCCTAGCCATGCCCACCATTCAGTAAGCGGTGGGCCTGGTGTTCTCCGTGTTTTGCCATATCTCTTGTTATATATATTTATTTGATTTCAGAGAGAAAGAGATACAAACATCAATGATGAGAGAGAATCATTGATTGGCTGCCTCTTGCACATTGGGAATGAGCCCACAATCCGGGCATGTGCCCTGACCTGGAATGGAACTGTGATCTCCTGGTTCCTAAGTCCAGGCTCAACCGCTGAGCCACGTGAGACTGGCTTTTTTTTATTTTTAGTTTTAGTTTTCCTAGCTCAGTTTATACTCCCGCAGCCTGCGCACAGATCTGAACTTACGTCCTTTCTCTGCGGCTATCCTTCCTCTTCAGGGAGCCCTCTGACCCCTGCGGTGTCCGAAGTCCCCAAAACAGCAGCCAGGGTGTGGCGGGTCCCGTGGCAGGGTGTGGGGGTCGGGCGTCCGGCCCTGCCCACT